AGAGTATTGTGGTAGAACCCAGAAAACAAGCTTTCTTGCCTCCCCATGTGTGTCATGCTTAGAGTTATTAGGAGATACTTTCCCCAGGGTTTTGCCTCCTGTAAGACATGCCCAGGCACAGATCAAGGAAAGGGAAGGTGAAATACTTCCTAAAGAGTTGCCTTTAGAGATGTTACAACATATGAGATACCTCTATACTTGTATCACTAGTAAGCACACTGCCATGTAACTGAGGAGTAGCTCTGAAGTTCAGGAAAATCTGACAGTAGCAAAGAAGAAATAAATGCTGAAGAAGGGGCTAAATGAGAGCAGACATTTATATATCCACCAGCCTTCCTTCTCAATCAATTCCAGGTGGGCCCAGTTTTGCCACTCGTAGGCAACTAGGTGGAACTGGTCTCTTTTGGCAGTACCCAAAGGCCTTGTTAAGTGTTTGCATGGCAGTAGCTCCCTGTTTGCTCTGCTCTCACGAGCAGCATTTCTGTATTAAGCCAGGGGATTTTTCAGCACTGCAATGTCTCCTGCAGCGTGAGGGCGCTCTCAGAATCTCCCAGCAGCAGTCTCCTAAGCTGTGTGGGATAATTCTGCTTAGGGGGTAGCCCAGGGTTTTGTAAGGGAGACAAGAGGCTAGCACAATCTTTCCAGAGTCCTGCTTCAGTTGGAGAGAGATTTCTGTGGTCTGTTATGAAGTGCTGGATGTTTACATTTCGCTTTTCCTGTCGGAAGAAATAGATCTGGCAAACAGCCAGTAAGCTATTTCTGGAAAACTACTTTCCTGGTAATTAAAAGCACCTGGGCAGACTTTCCTTGTCCAAACAGCACTGTCTAGCCAAGCCAGGCCTTTAGGGTCAGAGTTTTGGGTACTGAACAGCTTTAACAGGAACACAGGAATTCAAGGAGTTCCGTCTTTACCTTCTGCATCTTGAATGTCGATTTGCAATTCAAGTTAAAGATGGCAAAGGACTGAAAGTTTGTGACCTCTAAAGTGTCAAAAGCTCCTCATACCCCAGACTTTCATTCTGGCTCTGCCAGGTGTTTAGAGACCATGAAATAAATGTGTAAATCATGTGTTCTTTGCCCTTTTTGCCCCACCCCTCCCACCTTCTGGGTGATGATCCTTTAGGGAGCTTTTGGATCATGTTTCCAGGATCCAATCATATTTTATTTTAAATAAAAGCTTGGAGTCTTTCCTGCTTTTGATATAAATGCTTCCTTACTGGGTTTACTAGTCAATAGATGCCTACCTGATGTCATCTGAGGAGGGAATGGGCATTGGCAGGACATCCTGAGAGCAAGGTTATCTGTTGACTAACAGCTCTCTTCCAGCTTATGCTGCCACAACCTAGATGATGCAGTAAAGCTCACATGACTGAAGCAAGTTCTTTAGCTGGTGGGATATAAGGAAGGAATATGGCCCACATTTGTGGATAAATGAGTTATAGAAGTAATAGGACATGTACTGCAGTCTTGTGTGTCCAGAAAAGGAGGGCTGAAGAATGAGGGGAGAGAAAATACACAGTCTACTTGGCAACTACACTCTAGAAAGGAATAGCACCACCACTGACTGCTAAATAAATTTCCCACCTCTTCTGTTTTTCTGCTATAGCTATTACTTTTCTCCTGCCTATGCATGCATTAACCTCAGCCCATACAGTGCCCCAAGGTCAAGTGAGGTAAGTTCACACACCAGAAAAGTAAGTTCATACAAGAAAGGGAGGAATTACTGCACCAAATCTTAAATCCTCTAAAGAAAAACCCAAATTATTTCTCTTAACTATAAGGCTTGTTTAGGAAACCAAAAGTTTTAATGAGCATGCAGACAGCAATCAAGATTAATCCTCCTGTGTCTTGAGACCTGGACAAGCCAAGGCCTGAGGACCTCTTGAGAAGGACAGCAGCAAACAGAAGTTTTGATAGTTAAACAGAATCTCTTGGTTACTCAGATCAACATATTCACAGTTTTATCTTTAATTTTGAATCTTCTACCTTTAGACAAAGAATTGTTCCATACTGGAGATACATCCTTCCTGTAGAATCAGAGCTGGCTTACAGACTAGGTAAGATTGATGCTGCAACCAGTCATTTAAATTGGATCATATTTATCTCACCAAATCATATATAAATAGTAAATGCAAGATCAAGTTCTGGTGCAGAAAGAATATGCTTCTTAGAAGAGAAACTTAATCAGTTTTATTCCCTAGATTAATTTAGTATGCTGGATAAAGGAAATGAATTAATTGTGCAAATGCTCCATTATGATTCCCTCTGATAATCACTAAGAAGCACATCCTCCATTATCTCCTGCTTTCCTGAACTACAGGGATTAGAAATCTTTTCAAAGGACATACTGCTATGAAATGAAAAGACACCTACTTGCCTGGGACCCAGCCAAAGCTGGTCAAATCATTGTGGTAGATGGGCATGGCAAATACTCTCATGACAATGACTTTTTTCCCCGGTATCTGTCATTGAATGTCGCTCTTAGAGTGCATTAGCACAAAGAAGCCAGTTACTGGGAGTGAAGAGCTTAGTCCTAGCAGAAAGCCTTAGCACTGTCTGCTTTGTGGAATATGACAGCATAGTCTGACAGAAAACCCATGCCTTGTGTTTATGGACTCTTCTGCAGTGCTTGCAGCCATAAACTGAGTCCTACCTCTACTTAGACTGATGGTACAGCAGCAGCAATGTTCCTTTAAAAAGAAAAAATATGAGTTTCAACCTTTCCTTGCTTTTCATCTCCTGATTTCATGTTCTAGACAGTTTGTTTTATTCTTGATCAGCTGCTTTAAAAATCTTTATTTCCTTGCTTTGGTGTCACCTGAAGTTATGAATGTCACGGAGAAAATGGCATTTTCTCCATGGCAGTAATTCTCTGCCATGCCCTTGATATCTGTTTCCCCCCTCACCCTATTCTCTTCCTGTTTCCATTCTGCCTGGCCACTGCTATTTCTTGCCAAAAAGTAGTGTTTTTAGAGTGACACAGTTAATTTGAGCAACTGTGGTGCTGTAGAACCACATATAGTATATACTTGAAAGGAGTAAAGTGCCTAATCTCTCAACTAACAACAGAGGTGACAGGTACAGCTTCTTAGTCAGGACTCACGAGGACTAAAAGAGAGAGCAAAGCCACATCACCTCTGGCAGGGAACGTGGTCCACAGAGCCATTGCCTTCCTGCACTAGTGTGCTTTGGAGTTACTCTGCTCTGCAGCAATGAGTAAGGAGGGCAAGTAGAGAAAGGAATGATTGCTTGTTTTCATATCCTGTGAAGCTGCTGCAACAACGTATATCTGTATAGATGAATTTTGGGAAGTCCTGGATCTTTCAGAGAATGGAAGTTTTCCATTTTAAGAGAACAGATTATTCACCCAACCTTTTAAGCTGTCAGCTGTAAAATTAACTTGGACTATTTCCTGGTGAGTGCCTATTGAAGCAGGTTGAATCTAATCCATCAGTTTTTAAAAGGTGCTGTACCTTCCACAGGAATTATTATTAGTTGTGGATGTGGCTTCCTTGTTGTTTGGACTCTTGTTTTCTTGCGGAGCAGAAGTACTGTTCAAAACAGCCTGTTTAACTGAGGAATTGCAGGTGGAAGCATTGCACATGGAAACTAGTAATCCTAAGAGCAATATGCTGGTGTACCATTGCTGTTCTCATGCAAGAAGAACATGGGGGAACAGCAATAGCAAAGCTTCATCATTTGATGTGTAGCTTATTATTTCATTTGCTCACTAGAACTCAACTAGAGTTTAGTGAGCATTAGTTTAAGAGCTTTTCCCAGTAGCATCAGGAGGCTGTACAACAGCACTGACTGTTCAAGTGGTATATAGAAGGGAGATAGTTTTAAAAATAGATATTTCAAAATATGTTATCAAAAAACAGAACGTGGGATGTTTGGAAAGGATATAAGCAAGCTAGGCACTCAGCTGTCATTGAGAGTTGAAAGGCCAACATAAGAATTTGACCAGCTAAGCCTCAGTAGGTCTTAAAGGATATTTAGGGCTGTGATGCCACAGTAAATAGCAGGCTGTTTCCAAAACATTATTTCCAGTCAGACAGGACAAGTAAATGAACAAAGATCAGAGCACATCACCAGGTATTAGAGTTGCAAGTGCAGAGATGCAAATTCAGAGCCAGGGAGTTCAGCCATGCTAGCTGGGATGTGAACTGATAATTTTTTTATGTCAGCTTTTGTTTTCTTCCCAGGCAGATGTCTTCCTAGCCTTCTTGCCATCTTGCTGTTTAAGCTTAATTGCTGTGTGTTGCTGCCCAGATGCTTGAAACCTTCCCAATTCAACCACAGTGGTTTGAGCACAATAAATAAGGTCATGATATCCACCAAGAGGAGTCTTAGGATATCTTGCTGATCTAGGTCTCTCAGTGCTGGATATGAACACTCCAGGGATTCAGTCTCACTGCTTCATTTTTGCCTTTTTACTTCTGACAGTTTTTTTGCGTGCCTTTGTAAAAAGCAGGAGGTGTTTATCTTAAAACAGGTATTTGTGCAGGAAAATACTGGTTATATGTAAAACAGGCCAGTTGTATTCCAGCCAGTAGTTTTATTGCTCAAATAACTGCTTCTCCCACTTTATTACAGTATTGCCAAATGTAGATTGCTATGGAAATAATTCATGCTTCAGTACCATGTGTGAAATGAGCACAGCTTTTAGGGGCAATCTCCTCAATAGACAAAAAGTTAAGTGACACTATAGATGCTAATTACTCTCCTAGGATATCCATAAATGGTCCTTTCCTGATGTAGTTGACATGCATCCTACTTGGAAGGATGCAATTTTTCATCATTTCTCCACATTATTATTTATATTTGGGGGGGGGGGAGATATAAAAGCCTAGCACTCAAATTGTACCCACCTGCCCCAATTTGTAATGTCAGAAGGGAAAAGGTAGCTCGGTCATTTTGTCATAAATTTCAACGCATTTAATTTTTAACCGTTCAATTTTTTCTTTCTTTAACGGGTACCTGTCACTTTGGGATTTCAGCAGTCATCTGTGACTCTAGAATGATAATCTTTTGATGTGGAAATCTCGGTGCTGTTAAAGTATCGGTATTTTTGCAAGTGGTGTCACAACCATGATTTTTCTGGTAAGTTTCTTAAGGTTTCAGTTCTTAAAAGGGGTAGGATGTGTTGTAAGAGATCATGGTAGATGGGACTTCTGGACAGCATAAGCTATCCAGCCACTCTGTTTTCCAATGCCCTTGACAGAGGTCCCCAGTCATACACACACCTGCTAGTTTGCATGAGACAGGTGATTTCACTCGTTCATGAGAGCAGACTCAGCTCTGGTAATGTTTTGTAGTACTAGTTTTAAAATTAGCTTGGTCTTATTTCATTTGGATTATATGGCATCATTTATGGGACACAAATAGTGATTGAAAGTGATTCCACTGATATGTTGAGAAACATCTATGCATTTCTTTAGTGAGCTTGGAGACAAGAACAAAAAAATTGGCAGGTGGAGAAGGGGAAATGTTCCTGCCAGCTACACAGGCTGCCAGCTTTTGGTATTTCCCAGAATCCTGCCAGTCACTGTTTCCTGGCTCTAAATGCCACCTCAGAGCTCTCTCTCCTATATGGGGCAGCTGAGCTATGGTTCTACCCTTTGGTAATACTTCAGGGACTGCCTATACTGAGCATGGCTTTCCTCGTGCCCTTTCTTCGAGTCTGAGTAAAACTCTGATGTATATTTATTGTGCAATAACCCTTTGCAACCCATGACATTACTCGTGGCTGAAGCCTAGTGATTACCCAGGACCTTGCATTTGAGACAGGCTGTAGGACCATGACTTCTTTCCTACTGCAACAGAGTCCATTCCTTTCTGTGTAGAAGATTACCTGTTTAAAAGGCTGGTGACTCGAGTCACTTACAAAAATGTTCTGTTGTGTCAGAGGCAGGTCAGGTGCTGTAGAATCATAGAATATCCTGAGTTGGAAGGGACCCACAAGGATCATTAAAGTCCAACTCCTGGCCCTGCACAGAAGAACCCTCAAGATCATACCGTGTGCCTGAGAGCATCGTCCAAATGCTTCTTGAACTCCGTCAGCCTTGGTGCTGTGATCACATCCCTGTGGAGCCTGTTCCAGTGCCCAACCTCTGGGTGAAGAACCTCTTTCTAATATCCAACCTAAACCTCCCCTGACACAACTTCAGGCCATTCCTTTGGGTGACCAGAGGGAAGAGATCAGTGTCTGCCCCTCTACTTCCTCTTGTTAGGAAGCTGTAGACCAGCAGGAGGTCTTCCCTCAGTCTTCTCTTCTCCAGGCTGAACAAGCCACGTGACTTCAGCCACTCCTCATACGGCTTACCCTCTAGGCCCTTTACCATCTTCATAGCCCTTCTTTGGAAGGGTAGCTTTATACCTATCTTATATTGTGGCACCCAAAACTGCACACAGAACTTGATGTGGGGCCACACCAGTGCAGAGCAGTGCAGGACAATCACCTGCCTTGACCTGGCTGGTGATGCTCTGTCTAATGCACCTCAGGACATGGTTGGCCCTCCCGGCTGTCAGGGCACTGCTGACTCAGTGCTTTGGAGTGTGGCAGTCTGTGGGGTTTTAATGCATATTTTCCGTTCAATTGTTATGTGAAAGATATCCTCCCACCCACGTGCCTTCCCACACAAAGGAAGCTGGCCACTGAATGAACTTCATAGATGGAAACTGTTACCCGCCTCCAAGAAGTAATTTTCAGTTACTGCACTTTGCAGTCTTTTTGAAAGTTGTGTAAAAAAAAATAGCCAACAAAAAGGCTTGTTCTCTGTTTTCTTTGCTGGCCATCAGCACATAAAAACTGTCTTTCTTCTCCCCCTCAGTCAAAAGAAAACCATCCCAAACCTGGCCTAACCAGAATTCAAGTTAACTTTTCTCTCATTGTAAAAAGTGACATGTTTTCTTTGAATATCCTGTCTGTTTTACCCTCCATCTGAAAGATGGCTCTGCCAGCAGCTCGATGCACCTCTAATTCCTTGTGAGGAATGTGAGAAAAAAAAATTAAAAACACTGTTTAGGAGTTAAAATACTACACAGCAGTCCCTAGCCAGTACATCCTGCAGCTACAGGCTGTGGAGAGCTTGTACCTGCAGAAACCAGGTTAGAACCACGCCCAGCATCTGAAATCTTTCTGCATCACTTTTGATGGTAGGACCATCCCCAGATGTGATATTTAGCCACTTTCTGCTTTGTCACCAAAGCTGCTGCTGAGGTTAGTGTAGTGTTTGCTGTAAATTCTTTGATTTCTGCCTGCAGATTGAAACTCCAGGAAGGTCCTCAGCACTCATGAAGACATTCATCCCGCTAACATTTCCAGGAGTGTAACATCTTTCCCATGGACTGCTCTGCTCTCAAGGAGGATTTCTCATTTACTGTGCTGTATTTCTTGTGTTCCTGATGAGCTCATGTAAAGAGACTGAATTGTGTGCTGTGATCTTCCATTTGAGCTAATACATAAACAAAAATATATTTGTACCAATTTACATTCTCTTTTCTTACTTCTTTTGTGTATACGTAAAGAAACCCCCACAAACCAAAACTAAAATCAAAGAATCCCTCTACTGTAAAGACCTTTAGTCAGTCTTTCTATTTCAAGGTTATTTAAAAGTATTAGAACTGCATTTGTTCCTGTGACAATGCTGCACATTGTGTGCATGCACAATTTAGTTTATTCTCTGCTTATTCCTCTATTGCAATGTAAAAGGAGCTTGTAGTTCTGCTTTGTGAGTTGTTCCCAAAAGACTCATCTCTGGGTTCAGGGTACATGGAAGCCTGATGGGCTCTTTTATGGTCAGAAGTGGTGTAAAGAAGAGCCAGAGCAATGTCAACCAGAAGGAGCACTTTGGCCCCACATACCTTCAGGGCACTGAGCAAGGCTGCACAGAACAGAAGTTCATTTGGCATTCTGTGTGTGTCACAGAGGTCCCATAATGACTGAATCTGAGGACTTCAAGGCAGCACTTCCTGGACCTCAGTCTGAAATCATAGCACAGAGTGCTTCCTCCCTTGCGAATCAGAATAGTAACTTATGCTGTTACATTTTACCTGTGTTGCTGAGGTAGCAAGCCAAAGGGTAGTCCACTTGTTTTATATATGCTGTATGCTTATACTTTGTACTGGTTTGAATGTTGCTGCTGTAAGCAGCTAAGGAATGTGCTGCTTGCTCAGTCAGTGATGAATCCATCCAACCCAGTATCCTGTCCCCAGCAGTGACATTAGGAGATTCTGTTTAGGAAGTGCAAACAAATATGACTCCTATCTGAGTACCATTCCCAGCATCCAAAAGTTATAGACTCATCTCTGCCTTCTCCCTGTTTGTGGACATGTTGTCCATGAATTTGTCTACCTTCTTTTTGGAACTGCTCATATTGTTTGCCTTTAAAACATGCTGTGACTACATGTTTTACAAGCTCATGTAAGAAAGTACTTTGCTATAACTGTTAAATGGGATTTACTGAACAAGTTTTTCATTCATCTTATTTCCAGGGAGCCTTCTCCTCCCTTCATTGAAAATCCTCAGCTTTTTAGGGCTCCCTTGATAAGAGGTACTGCCCTTCTCAGTACCTCTCCTCAGTGCATTATGTCCTTCTTGCAATGCTGAGAGCAGTGAGAAGCATGAGTCAGGATGTGGGTGCACCTGGGTTTTATGCATTGGCAAAACAATGTTCTCTGCATTGCTCTCAACACCCTTCCTGACGATGCTCAACAATTTGATGCTTCTGGCTGACACTGCACATTGAGGTGATGAATGAAACTGGGAATAACTAATGAGAACACACTATTGTGATCAAGGCTGGCTGGGGTATGCAGTTAAATATAGCCATATTTAACTTTTCCTTTTAAACCATATTCTATTGCCACTCTCAGTGAAAAACAAATATTATCAGCCAGGGTAACTGCTCCAAATTGGACAGCTTTGGGTCACCGTATTTTTGCAGTCTTCCCTTTTTCTCTGCCCAGAGCATAAGTAGTATACCTTATGGTGCAAACTAGAGCACCCATAAGTAATATGCCTGCATGCTCTTTCTGCATTTGTGTGCAGGGGCCCAAGGTGACTTTTAAGCTTAGGTCTCTTGTTCAAAAACTTGATTATAAGGATGTGGAAACACTTCTGATGCACCCTTTTGAAGAGGTTTTATGACTCAGATGCAAAAATTAACTTCCAGACGAAAGTATAGTAGAAGCTTTAGCCCAGGAGCAACACCTACCCAGTTTTATAACCCTGTCACACATATAGCTTTAATAAAAGCCTGTAGAATAAACAAAACTCAGCTATAGAAACAATAAGGCAATAGCAGTTGTAATTCAGGGAACTTCCAGCAGATTAGTAACAACCTGTGAAGAGCCTGTGGCCTGAAAGGCAACCTTGAGTCTCTAATTCCTAGGAAATTGTTTGTGTTGTGGTGGTTATTGCTGCTTAACAATTAACACCTTGAAGACTTAAAAAAATTTGGCTTTTAATTTCTCTTTTCCATTTTCAGCATGTGAAGTCTGATTCTGGCATGAATCACAGCTCTTTGAGATCCACCTCTTTCAGGAGGTCTGCACAGCTATCCGTGAACTAGAGCATCCTATAAAGAGCTGAGGCATTGATCCAAGGAAGCAATCAGGTACATGTGTGATTCTTTTCTCCGTGGAGCTCTCAAAATCAGAAAAGCTTTTTTGGAACATTCCTCCCAGAATTTTAAACAGTCTGGAGGACACAAACATTTCATCAGAATCTGTAAATAAAAAAAGAAAAAAAGTTCGATCGCTACCAGTTTTTTTTCCTTCAATGAAATCAAATGGAAATTGCAATTCTATTTTATGTTACAAAATATTTACACCTTTTAATGCCCGATGTTTCTTGGCATTTTTTTCTCTTTTCTGTAGCCACTTTCAGCATATCTGAGTCTATTCAAATGTCAATGAATCTTCACAGCTCACTCCGTCAGTGCAGACAGAGTCCCTGATAAAGCACTTCTCCCACCCAAGAAATGTCTCTGGAAAGGAGTTAGTCCTTTCCTTGAGATCTGGTAACAGTCAGTCAGGGAGGTACCTGAAACAGTAACAAGCCTTCTATGCTCTGTGTGTGTCAGTTTAACCTACTGTGCATAAATCCTACCGATGGCACCAGTTATGCTTAAAATTAAAGATACGCAGTAATTTTATACTACAGTCCTAGAAATACTCTCCTTAGATATCTCTACGAGCAAATTTAATGCAGTCCTCAACTATTTTGGATGCTCTAGAAATGTGAGTGTGTTCCAGAACTTCATAGGCCTCCTGGTTCAGGTACTTGACACACAAGCAGTCATATGACATACACTCAGCCACAAGTGTTAATGAGAAAGTAATTAATCACAGATTCCATGTAGCTTGTATGTGAAAATCCTCACCAGTTATACCGGATCCAGACAGACTCAGTGTGGTGAAAGGAGTTTAGCTTCCTGTAATAGTGATGTGGCTGCCCAGCTGCTCTCTGGAGCAAGGAATTAACATAGAAATACAATGCCTGTCGCTTCTAAATTGGGTTCTGTGGCCTCTCAAGAAGAGAAGAATGAGTGAACTTGAGAGCCCAGGGATGTCTAGAGTCTGGGGATGGCAACATCAGTTTGGAGATACTTAGAAATTTGAACAGGTGAGAATCCCACTTCTTGCTCTCTCAGTGCATTTTCCAAGTTTTTTAAATTTATTGAATTTTTTTCTTTCAGGGCTGGCTGCCATTACTGCTTACATCAGTGGAGAGATTCCCACCGAATTTCAAGGGCAACTGGATTAGTTACTGGTTGTTGTACTGAAAAGGCATGCAATTAAAAAAGCTACCACATTGTTCTCACTGGGCTGGAGCCAAGGATGACCAAGTGTGCTTGCTCAAGTTCAGCTGTGCACTGTCACCCACGAAGGCAGTCGGTTGCACTTAGGATGCAACCCAGACAATGGAACCTGGCCTGGCCAGAAGCTGCAGTTTGGCAGCTTAGACCCACTGGAGCTCTGACCAGGCACAGGGAGCAGCTACAAGGGATTTCTTTTAGGAGTCAGAGCTGTAATTTCCAAATGATAGGTTTATGTCAGCACTGCAGCTGGTGAGACTTCTGTCAGCTGTGTGGTTTACCAGGAGGAATCTTCAGCTGGAAAACAATTCTCAGGTGCTTTGCACTGAATGGAAAGTGATGAAAAGTGGTTTTATTAATTCTTTTTGTATAGTGTATACTCCCTAGCATTTAAAAAATACTTTTCTGAAGTAATTAATTATTTCCTACAAATCTTATTGATATGAAGGGGTGCCCTACCCTGTTTAACTCCAGCTATAAGTCTCAACCTCCCAAACAGTAAGGTATCTATGTGCCTTCAGAGAACCATAGAACAGTTTGGGTTGGAAGGGATCTTTAAAGGTGATCTAGTTCAACTCCCCTGTGATAAGCAGCAACATCTTCATTGGGATGCTCAGAGCTCCGTACAACCTGACCTTTAATGTTTCCAGGGATGGTACATCTACAACTGCTCTGGGCAAGCTGTTCCAGTGATTCACCATGCTCATTGTAAAACTTTTCTTCCTTATATCTAGTCTGAATTGACTGTCTTTTAGTTTATAAAAATTACCTCTTGTCCTATCACAACAGGCTCTGCTAAAAAGTCTGTTCCCATCTTTCTTATAAACCCATTTTAAATACTGAAAGGCTGTAATATGGTCCCTCTGGAGTCTTCTTTTCCAGACTGAACAACCCCAATGTCCTCATTCTTCCGAGTCTTCTCATGAACTCCTGTTGAAATAGTTGCTTCCTTAATGCTATGCATATGTTTTGAGGGCTCAGAAAAGACAGGGAAATTACAAACATGTGAGCTCAAAACTTTTGAGAAAATGACGACTGCCAGTGTTTCTGTAATTAAAGATATGCTCTGTAAACTGTCCCTGCCTCTCCTTTTCCTTTCTCCAAGATGAATGAAATGTGAAACAGCGTATTAAGCCTGGGAAGTAAGTTAAGGTTATAAAACTAATTGCATTTGATGATGTCATGTCCCTTTTGATGACAAGGATAAAACATGTCCAAAACAGTGCCTAGAGAGGGAGAGGACATTTTTGGGGGGACTGCCTGGGGCTGATGGATGGCGCAACAAACGGAGCCACTCACTGCAGCAAACCCACGATCCCCTCGGCCGGGCTCATTTGCCCCTTACCCCGCCGGGGGCCCTGAGCGGAGCGCTCCCGCCGGCGGAGGGGCAGCCGGGGCAGCCCCTGGGGCCAGGGTTAACCTCGTGTTACCGCCGACCCTCTCGCAGATCGCCCGCCCCCGGGCATCGTCCGAGGGCCAGGGCGCTCCCCGCGCCGCCGCTCCCTCTGGGGGTGCGCACCGAGGCCGGGAAACTTTCGGAGGGAACCACTTCCTCGCCCGCCCTGCTGGGGGGAAATGTCAGATGCCGGGCGGGAGAGAGGGAGGGGTGAAGGCGGGGAAGGGCCAGCCGCAGACCCTCCGCCCGCTGCAAGACGGCCATTTAAGCCCTGGGCGAGGAGCCGGCGGGAGGAGGCGAGAAGCAGCGGCGGAGGGAGGTGACCGGCCCGGCTCTCCAGCAGCCGCTGTCCCGCTCGCCCCCTCACTCCGCCCCGCGCACGGCTTCCTCCGCGGCTCCCGTCCCCCCGCCTTTCCTTGGGGCGGGCAGCGCTGGAGGGAGCGGCGGCGGGCGGGGCGCGGGGGAGGGCCGGGGCGCCGGGCGGTGCGGGGCGGCAGCCCGGCCATGTCTCCGGCGGAGGCGGCGTCGGGCTGAGCGGCCGTGTGCGCAGCGGGGAGCGCTCTCCGCCACCATGAGGCGGCTGCCGCTGCCCCTGCCCTGCCTCCTGCTGCTGCTGCTGCTGCCGGCCGAGGTGAGACCGCCGTGCGGGAGGCGGGGGTCTGCCGCACCTGCCCCCGCCGGGGCTGCCCCGCCGCGCTGCGGGGAGCGGGCGGCCGGCGGGGCAGGTGTGCGGCCGGAGCTGGGGCTTTGTCCCGCAGAGGCTCCGCCGGTGCCGCCCGGGGAGGGCAGGGGGGGCTGGGGGGGCCGCGGCGCTCACCTGGGGCGGGATCCCCGCGGCCTCGGCTTCCGCCGGCTCTCCCCGCCTGTCCCCCCCGGGGGTCTGAGCCCCGCCCGGCCGCAGCGGGATGGGGTAGGGTGAGACCCTGCGGTACAGCCGCGTGGCTCCTGTCGGGGCGTGAGGCTGCCCCGGTTGTTTACCCCGCTAAAAGCTGCCTTAGGTAGAATAGGGACGGCTCCCGTCTTCCCAGCGTTGTAGCCTGCTGTCCTCGTGTCGCTGCTGGTTAATTAGTAATAGGTTATTTGCGCATTGTCCGTGACGGTGGTGCACATCACCCGCTGGGTTACAGCCTTCAGGCTCAGTGTGGAGTTTCCACGGGAAAATCCTGCCCTGTGCGGAGTGAGCACACCTGGCCATGCAAGGCAGCAGGAGGACTTTGCCTGCACACTTGGCTTTGAGGCCCTGCTCTGTTCCCAGGTGTGTTTCAGGATGTTCTTCCAAGAACACTTTTCAGTGATGTAAATCAGAATCGCTTGCCAGGTGACCCACTGACAGTGTGCTGGCATAGACTTTCACCCCATGCTTCTCTCAGCTGATAGATTCCTGGTGTTCCCGCAGGAACACTTCATGGCTGCTGTGAATGCTAATGTTTTGGGGTTTCTTGAACTTTTGATTCCAGATGTACCTCCTTGGCCTCTCTGCCTCAACAGTTTCTGCTACAGAAGTGTGAATGTGTATTGGGATGGACCGAGGTGCTCAGTAGTTTTTGGTGACAGTTCTGCCTGAGAGCTGCAGAACAGAACTGTACCACTGCTTTAGTTTAACTATTTTCCCCCCTATCTTACACTGGTGCTGGCTTGTAATTGGAGCCAATAACTACTGTAAACCTTTGCTTCCTTCTCCTTTTGTGTCTTTCAGTTTGAGGTACCTTGCAGTGTTTTGTCATTCCATCTCTGTTTGTTGTTGTACCAAGCCTAGGCTTAAAAATATCTTCTAAATAAGAGCTAAAACTGAATTGGGTATCAAAGTACTCCAGCATTTTGGAAAAGCTCAGAGCAGGCCTGGATTGTCCTTGGGTATAGCCTTGCAGGATCTGTCTACCATGACCTCTATGATTTGTAGTTTTTCTTCTCAAGCTGAATCTTGTGACATAATGATCTACTTCTAACATTTTCTAAGCCAGGGTCTTAATTGGTGTCTAGTATGATTAATAATAACATGAAAAAAAAATAGACCCTCTCCTCAATTACATGTAGTTATATTTATGAACTCATCATCTTGGGACTCAGCTGCAGATTCTCGGGTAGGTCCTGTCATCTGCAATGGTATCGGAGTTTGCATCAACAGGAGGACGCAGATCTGCAGATTCTGGTGTGGCTTGTAATTTTAGGTAGGAGCTCCCCAGCTCCTGGTGTCATTACTGAAAACTGAGAAGACAACAGTCTCATTTGTGACTTTAGGTGTACCTGTGAATGTGAAAGCTGATGCAAGGAAGTCTCCATTCACTAGGCTTCTTAACTAGTGCTGATCAGCACCTGGTGGAGTTAGGAACATTAGGAGCACTTCCTTGATCTACAGAGAGAGGTGGGGAGAAATGCC